CTCCTGGCCGGGGGGCTGGACCTCGCTGGCCTCCTGGCTGCGTCCCTCTCCCTCCCTCTCTCCCTTTCCCGGACTTTCTCCGCCCTCGTTCTCTCCGTTTCGGCCTCGGAGGGGGAGTACCTGTTGCCGCCTCGGCTGGCGTCCGCTCTGTTGGCCGGGGACGGAGGCGGACTGGGGCTGTCCATCTGAGTGGGGCTGTATCGCTCCTGACCTTTGGCCGGGGACGGGTAACTCTCAGCAGGAGCTCTTTGGGCAGGAGGTCTTTCCCGCTCACGTTTGTCTCCTCCAGCCTCCTTCTGGGCTCGTCTGAGTGCGTCTCCCTCGGAGGCCGAGGCCGGGCTTTCCTTTCTGCCGTTGGCAACATGCTTCTGGACCGCAGCCCCGATAGCGGGTGGCGCTCCTTTCGAGGGGCTACTTTTTTCCCTCCCTGCCGCCTTCGCCTTGCCCTCATCTTCAGAGGAGGAGGACGAGGAGGACGATGAAGAAGAGGAGGAGGACGAGGAGCTGTCACTATCGCTGTCACTGCTGCTGCCGCTGCTGCTGCTGCCGCTGCTGCTGCTGCTGCTCTCCCTCTTTTTCTCCGCCTGTTTCGCCTTGTCGTCGCGTTTCTCCTTTCTCGGAGGACTCCTCGTCTTCTCCTGGCTCTCCTTCGTCTCCGGGCGTCTGGCTTTCTCCGCCGGTCTCGACCCGTCTCGGAGGGCCTCGTCTCTCTTCCTGCTGCCTTCTCGTCCTCGCTCTCTGTCTTGTTCGCTCTGCTTGTTCACGTGCCTGTCCCTCTCCTTAGTGCTCTCCCTGTCTTCCTCCCGTCTCCTCTCCTCCTCCCTTTCTCTCTGGCGCCTGTTGTTGACAGGTGAGCGGGAGGCAGGTGACAGGGAATTGTGGGACGGCTGTCCATCCTTCCTCCTGTCGTTTTTCTGTTGGCAAGGAGACGTCTCTCTCTCCTGTCTCCTCCCGGCGTCTCTCCTGTTGTCCCTCTCATTCGTCGTCCTCGAGGGCAGATCTCTCTCAGTCCTGCGCTCCCTCTCCCCACTCCTCTCTGTCCTCGCCCTCTCCTTCTCCGGCGGAGGCGAGGGGGATGTGGAGTCGTGTCTCGTCTTTTTGTCCAGTTTATTTCTGTCTTTTTCCCGCTCAGCGTCTCTGCTCCTTTCCCTCCTGGTCTCCTGTTTAGGCGGAGGTGGAGGAGAAGGAGAAGGGGATGAGGAGGAGTCGTGTCTGGTCCGCTGAGGAGCGCTCTCTTTTCCTTTATCCCTCTTTTCTCTGCTCCTTGAACGCCTCGCTTTCTCCACGTCTCTGCTCCTCGAAGGCCTCCTTTTCTCCACATCTCTGCTTCTTGAACGCCTCCCTCTCTCCCTCTCGTTGTCCCTGCTCCTCGACCGCCTCCCTTTCTCCATCTCTCTGCTTCTGGAGCGCCTCCCTTTTTCCCTCTCCTTCTCTTTGCTTCTTGAATGCCTCCCTTTCTCCCTCTCGTTTTCTATGCTCCTGGAACGCCTCTTTTTCTCCACCTCTCTGCTTCTGGAGCGCCTCCCTCTGTCGCTCTCCTTCTGTTTGCTTCTGGATCTCCTCCCTCTCTCCCTCTCCCTGCTTTTTTCTGTCTGTGGTGGTGGTGGTGGTGGTGAAGGAGATGAGGAGTCATGTCTCCTCTTGGCGGACGTCTTCTCCGTCTCAATCGGTCGCTCTTTCTCTCTCTCGAGATTTGGCCTCTTCTAGATGACAGAGGAAAGATTTGTTGGTGACATTTTACACAAACTTTAATGTTCTTGATAGAATAAAAGTAAAATACATAAAATAAATTAAACAAAAGAATCTAAATGAAAGTTTCAAGATGTTATTAATCCAATGCAACAGCCTCACCCCTTCTCCTCCCTGATGATGTGGGCTGTGCTCCTCGTAGCCCCGTCTCCTCCGTTCTGGCGATCTCCCTTTTCTGCCTTCATCGGCTTTTCTTGCGCTTTGATCCAGCTGACGTGATCTCGGTGGAGGTGGAGATTGGCTGTTGATATCACAGGAAAAAATATATATAAATGCATACAGTGAGACGTCAATGTCTGGAAAATGGATTTCGATCCGGTTCAGCCCACGACAGACTCATAAAGGGGCCGCTGTGTTCAAACAAACAGGCTGTTACAAATGGCCTCGAAGGGGAAAAGCTTTCACAGCTGGAGTTCAGTAACAATAGTGTCTGGGTTAGTGTGTGTGAGAGACTCAGTTCTGCCTCTTTTTACATTTTATACTTTAAATTAATGTACAGAAATCCATTTTTGGAGTCAGATCAAATGTTCTTTAACGAGCCGCAGACTGACGCTTTAAGGCGGTCCAGAGATCGCTGCAGGTCGAGGCTGAAGTTTACGTTTCTGGTCAAAACTGTCAAATAAAATATAAAGATTTTGTTCTGATGAAACATTTAAACATAATAAATATTTATGAAAATCAATGACCTATTTTATTCTTTTTCTGGAGGCAATTTATTTTCATTTTCAGGTTTCATCAGATTTCTGCGACACGTCTCCGAGACCTCGGTCAAAGCCGGATATTTCTGTCTGCGAGCAAAGTGCATCACCAGACTTTATTTTATTGTTTTAATGCACACACAACCTGGACTGACCCAACACTGCAGACAGATACTTTCTCCTCTAAGTCTACAAGAACACAAAAACTGATTTGTTCTTTCCGTATTTCTTGTTGAGTTCTGCGTTTTTAAATGTACACACTTGTTAGTTTGTGCCGTCTGTTGTTTATTTGTTGTTGTGTTTTCTGTATTTTAAAGGCCCATTTAGGGAGAGGCATCGCAAATGAGCTAAAGCTACCGGTGCTGTTGTGTGTGGCATTTGTTTATCCCCAAACAAACCAACCATGGTGATGTGACGTCGTACCTGTGAGCAGAGCTGGAGGAGACGCTCCTGTGTCGCACTGCCTTTGCTTTCGGAGGACTGGGACTTTCACTCTTCTTTCTTTTCGTCTTTGACACCTTCTGCTTCTCCTCTGAGGAACTTTGGGTCAGAAGGGACAGACGGTTACACATGATGTAACTACTACAACATCTCCCTGATTTATTGGTGACCGCAGATAAATACAATAAGAAAAGAATTGGAGCTACAGGCGTCAGAGAAAGTATGAACTGTAGACCCACCTGTCGTCTTCTTCCTCGTCTTCTGACGCCTCACTGAAACACAAATGTCTCAGTCAATAATCTGTGTCAACGTGAAATAAATATGAGACATAAATTGAATCCAGTGATGGAATACCGTTTCTTCTTCTTCTTCTTGGATTTTTTCTTCTCTCGTCGAGGAGATGGGGACGGACTCTCTGAGCTGCTGACAGAAGAACATAAATCAGACATTTCCTCGTCGACGGGACGTTTTCTGCTCCTGCGTATGTTCGTGTTCTCACCTGTCTCTGTTCTTGTTTTTCTTTTTCTTCTTCCGGCTGCGCTTCTTGGGAGGAGAATCTGAATTGTCTGAATCTTCCACCAACCTGAGAGAGTAAAGGCAACAGACAGTGAGCCTCAATATAAACTATTTAAATAACAGGAAAGAGAGAATACACCCTGAAGAGAGGAAACGATTCCAGGACTCAACACCACTGGTCAACTCCTGATACTTCACCATTTATTAATATCTATAGTTAATGTGTTGTTAAGAATAGCTAAATAAATTAAAACATCATGAATAGAAGGCTTTAAATAGATCCTGTGGTCACATCGGCCTGCACTAGAAAGGTGTTTGTATATTTCAGTGACTATATAAAACTATAACTCTGCAGTTTAAGCTTGTTGTCACCAAATTATCAAACGTTCTTCCTGTTTTAAAGCTTTTTAACTGAGGCTGAAAGATAAAGATGTTTAGCCACAGCTCCGTTTTCTGCTTCACTGGATCAGGATGAGCCGTTAATGTGATACACACTCGACTGTGTGGGCGTGAGCTCGTCCGACTCACGTGTACTTCTGCTGCTGCAGCCGCTCCTTCTCCAGCCGCTCCTGCTCTCTCTTCTCCTTCTCCCTCTCCTTGCGGTCGGCGTGGAAGGACGATCCGTCCACGTAGTCGCTGGCGATGCCAAAAGCGGCGCGAAGGCGGTCGTTCTTCTGCTGGTTGGCTGCAGCCAGAGCGTGAGTCTCCGTCACCCTGAGAGAAAACAAACATTATTTTATACATTTTAATCTTTAAAAGGTGTTTAATATTAACACCCTGTAGTCTGTCAGCATATAGTGAGAATCTTTCATGTGATTTCTTGTTGCCCGTTTACTTACGTTGGCTTTTCGTTGGCGGCGGGAACCGGCTCCTCCTTCTCCTGCAGCATCATACGGAAACTGTTCACCTTCTCCTCGATCTCCTCGGCTGAATACCTGAACATCCAAACAGAGGAGAGTTTAACATCAGCAAGGAAACAAACTGTAACAGTGAGTTATTCTTTCCAGGACATGCATCTGTTTTATTACACGTTTCTTTATTTGCAGTGGTTTAAGATGTTGTGTCACTTAAGGAAAAAATAAAACGTGAGATTAAAAAAGAAGAACTGATTAATCCGTTTAATAATTAGTAATAATAACGAGTTAGAAATGACAAAATGTGATGTTAGAGCTTTAAAAATGAGAGTATAGGCAGCTTTACAAACACAAATGAATTCCCTTGAGGTTTGATACTGTTAGTAATCACAGACACTTAACACATAACTTCTGAAAACCAATGAATCAATACTGGAAACAGCCGCTAGAAGTGGTGATTAACACATTATACAGCTGTTATCCTCAGCTCTGGCGTGAAGCCTCGTGTGTCTCACCCTTGCTCCTCCATCATGTCCTGCAGCTCGGCACATTTGACCTCCAGCTGTCTCTTCCTCTGGTGCTCCAGGATGTCGGCGTTGGGCTGCCTGTTGAGCTGACTCTCCAGCCTCTCGCGGTCCTTCTCGTCCCGCTCGCCGCCGCGCTCGTCCCGCGGACGTTTGACGCGCAGGGTGGACAGGTTGCGCTGCACGTAGCCATTGGTGCCGCTGCCCCTCGGAGTCGTCAGGCCAATCCCATTGTACATGGCTCTGCAGAGACAGACAGAGAGGTAACATGACTCCTTAATACTCAAAACAAAAGGTAATTATTGTATAAGAGAGAGTTATCTTTCATATAAAGCTTCGTTAGATGATTCAGAGTCTTTTAAAATGCCGAGGACGTCACTGGATCATCGTGTTTCTGACTTTAAAAAGTCTCCAGAGTCTCATTTTAAACTCAAATATTTACAGAATCAGGTTTTCACATACAAGGAATTTGCCTTGATAAGTTAATAAAAGTTAAACATATAAGAAGATAAATAAAGATAAAAATAGACAGTAAAAGGAGACGTGTACAATACGTGTTGATACTTGGATGAATGAAGAGCTACAGTGACAAACATACATTATGTGAATATATCTCTAAAATCCAGTGGAAGACATTTAAACATTATAATCCCACACACGACCTACTTTATCTGTTGTTAAAAGCTACAAACAAAAGCTCCTGCACTTTACCACTTTACCATTTTAAGCACATTAAAACACAGAGGGAGCTCCTAAAATGGCTGACACAAACAAACCAGCAGTGGTTGATGACAGACTTTAATTTAAAGTCACCAAACAGCAGAAACTGTTGAATAAAACCAATAAAAACATCTGGAAATCAGGCGGCATTCAGTGCCACAGCTGGGTAAAGTGAGTGTGTGATCTGCTGAAAGCTCCTGAAACACAGAGTGAGTGTGTGTGTTCGCCCTCGGCTCCTAATAAACACGTTTATTGTGTTTTATTTGCGGGTTTATTCACATTAAAGTGTTTCGCGCATTAAACACGTGCGCCAGAGTGAGGCCTGGTGGTGCGTTTGAGTGCCGGATTAATGATGAGTAATGCTAACACAACCCGCCTAATAAACCTCATTAACTCTCACTGGAGGAGACCAGCGGGGCTCAAACCGGCCGCTTTAGTGTTTAGTTCAATAATCGACCGGATGAGTTTGATGTTATAACGTTTATAAAAAGGCCTTGAACACAACTCACCAACCAAACTACAAAGCTAACGGGTTTCTAACGTACGTACCAGTGTTTCCTCCGGAGCCCGGGGAGGAAAAACGACGTCGGGGTAAAGTTGTCGGCGGGTAATATCCGGTAGAATCAGAAGCAGAAACAGACTTTATAAGAACTGCGTCTTTAGAAACGTTTATAAAACAACAAATGAAGAAAACGCGGCTGGTTAGCTTCTCGGCTAGCTGCTCTGGTCTCCAACCGAAGCAGGAACGAGACGGAGCCCGGTGACGTCAGACGTCTAAACGGCGATGCGTTCAGGGGTTGGACGCAAAGTCGGACAGTTATGTTGTGATAGGTTCACTGGCAGTTTGAGTGGAACAAAATGTAACCGAGGGGGGGGGAAGTGTCTGGAAGAAACAGTTCCCCTCATCCAATCCTAACACTTGAGATGTCATTGGAAAGGCCAGGTCCAGGAGCATCTTCAGCTACAGACTGACCCAGCCCCGAGCCTCAAAGCGGTTTGGAGGCTCATTTGTAACGCCACAGCTCCCAGTTCCTCAAACCCCTGCCCAGATAAAGACTGGTTTAAACTCCTACATACAACCCACACAAACCTTTTGCACTATTTATATTTAAATTTCCACTTATAGTTTAGTTTAGTTTAGTTTTAGTTTTAGTTTTAAGTTAGTTTTAGTTTTTTAGTTTTGTTTTTGTTAGTTTTGTCAAGTTTAATTTTCTGCTCATTATTTGGGACTCCATGTTTCCTACTTGAACAATTAAATAGTGTAATATACTTTAATTTATAGTTTTATATCTTTAATATTAAATAAAATATTAGCAATATTTTTACTGTGATATTCTTTGTTTTTCTGTTTTCTGCGCTGCTTTTGCCCTCCATATTGCTGCTGTGTCAAAATGAATTCTCCTTAGGGGATAAATAAAGGAATTATCTTATCTTATCTCTTTAGAGCTCATTGGGGCTTAGTAGGGGAGCTAAAATAAGTCAAGAGATATAGCCCAAAAACCAATGTCCACTACTGAGTACATAAATGAATAACAGAATTCTGGTGCAAACGATTAGCCAGTCTGTCTTTATTCTGAGGGTTTTTCTACTCTGGGATTCAAAGCAATAGTAGTGATTTCGCATTTTCAGTCCTCTGTTTGGCAATTATTTTGTGGTAAATTGCTTCATTGTCTTGATTTGAGGCCTTGTCTGGCAGAGAGGCCTGTGTCAAAATTGAGTTTAAATACGTGTCGTGTCTTGTTGATTACAGTAATCCGGTGTAGAAATACTGGTTGGTTCTGGCGGACGTGAGCAAAGTGTGTTTGGAAAACATTTGCCTGGGGCTCAATATGGGCCCACTGCTTCTTCTTTCTTTTGCTCAGGACTTTACTAACTCCTACCCTGGTGTTAAATAGTAAATAGTGTGAATACTTATTTCTCCACCTCAAAAGATCATTTAGGAGACGATAAAGGGAAGAATGTATTTTGTGTTTCCTGAGAGTGTTTATATTTATAATATCCCCAAAAACAAAAACATGTTTAACCTTCAGTGTTCAGCATTCAGAAATGAAGAAGTGATTAGTGTGAAAACCAAGAGTGCACTGAAGTCACTGGTGTATGAAACATAATCCTGGACTGGGATGTTGTTTTTTGCTTGTTTTGTTGCCCTTAGTAATTTTATAAATGTTCTAATTATTGTTAAAGTGTGATTATATTGTGTTGTTTCACTCACTAAAGTTGAACCTTTAAATCAAAGTATTGGTGGAGCGTCAGCTGCTGCGTTCACCTTACGTTGATGAAGACTGCCCCTTTGTGGTAAAGGAGAGGACTCCATCTTGTTAAAAGTTTATTTAAAAGGTTTTAGAAATAAAAAAGACATAAAAGAGAAGGTTTAAGGATGTTCAGCACTTCAGAGGGAACAAATATTAAAGGGTGATTTATCAGAATAGACACATTCAAGAACCATATTCATCTGGGAAATGTGGGTTTCACATTCAGAGTCTGCAGCAGATCAGAGACACATCTTTTTTGTTTTATTTGAATGTAACAATGCACGTGTAATAAATAACAGGTAACAGTATTTGCCAAAGGACTATTTAAACCTCCAATCCATGTTTAAATGTATTATTATAATCAGATAAGATAAAATAATCTTTAAACTTTGTACCTTTTATGGGCACTTTATTCCCGCAGACACTGAGGCCTCTGCAGCTGTCCACCCTCTCCAATAAAGATTAATTCCTCTTCTTCCACTATATGAGCTCCTTTGTCTTGCTGAGATAAGTTGTTCTCCAGGTGAGTCACTTATAGGTGTCATTTTAAGTTCTGGATGCTTTTTTGCTATTAATTTTATTTCCAGTATTGCTGCACCATTTAAATGTATTATAATAAGTTTTCTTTTAAGATTGATTTCACCAAATAAATTAAATGTCCTAATAAAAAATTACATGCTTTTATCTTTCTATGCTTTGAAAATAAAACAAAACCTGGAAAATGTTTAGTTTAATAATATATTTTATAAAAGTTTTTCTAAATATTTATATTAATTTGAGCTGATTTGATTTGATGAACACAGAAAGAAATGCTTTCCTTGATGAGTCATTGAACGCCACACCCATAATCAATAACAATTTAAAACCTATAATGTACATAATAAACTCTACTTTATGTACCATAATTATCACATTTTCATCCATTAATTTAGAAAAAAACAAGTGTATTGCATTCACTTGAATTTTTATTTTTTGGTTTGTTTTTCTGAATAATTATTTGTGTTTTTCTGAGTAAATTTTTTTGTCTTTTTTTTGGAGTAATTATTTTTTCTGTTTTTCAGAGTAATTTCTTTCAGATTTTCTGAGTAATTGGTTTTTTCTGTTTTTCGGACTAATTATTTTTCTTTATTTATTATATTATTCAAAAAAAAACAAACCAAAAAATAAATTAGTCAGAAAAACAGAAAAATAAATTATTCAAAAAAACAAACCAAAAAATAAATTAGTCAGAAAAACAGGAAAAAAATTATTCAAAAAAACAAACCAAAAAATAAATTAGTCAGAAAAACAGAAACAATTATAAATAAATAAATAAATAAATTACTCAAAAAAAAAGTATTATTTGTGTTTGTTTAAAGTGACTACAACCCGCTTCCGTATTATATATAATGAGCTGACGTGAGTCGTACCCGACACAACTACATGTCCCAGAATGCACCCGGCCGGTTTGAAGATAAATACCTGCTGTCAGACTCCAACGGTCAGTCAGTGACGCTGTGTGTGTGCGGGTGTGTGTGCGGGGCTCTGCGGGTCGATTCCTACAAAACACACCGACAAACAGAAACCCAACCGACTCCGGATCAGCACCGATGGCTGAAGGCGACAACAAAAGCGCGAATATGCTCGTGAGTATTTAAAAAAAAAAAATAACGGTCGGTTTTTATTTAAACGGCTCGTTAGCTGTTAGCTTCACGCGCCAGTTAGCTCCCCGGGGCGAGCTAACGCGGCTAACGGGCGCTGAAGCTAACTGTCTTTATTTTTATTTAGAGTTTAAAAGGTCGGACTCGAACTGTGGCCGTTTTAACACGACGCAGGTTGAAGGTCTGCGCGCTCAGCTGCGGTCGTTTCCTGTTTTTAATGAGTGCGGCCGTTTTACTGCACAGTCATATCGATCTGTACAATCCCGTTATCGCTGCTGATCGATACATTTACTGCTCTATATATTGGTGTTTTATTCTAAATACATCGCATAATTAAATGTAGCTGATTTTAAAAACCTGTAATGTTTTTATATTTAATTTAATTTGACTTTAATTTGGTTCCGACGTGTCCTGACATGTTATACTTCAGTTTTACGGTTATGCAAACACCTGGAATTTGATTAAAATCACCATTTAATGTTAAAACAACAATAATCTGTTAACCTGGGACGTTTAAATTGTGTCTTAGTTGCTCAGTCAGATCCGGAAAACAAGATTTAACTAAACATTAATGTTTCAGTGTGTCCACCTACCTGTCCCCTCAATAAAAACACCTGGAAAACACCTGGAAAGGTTCTGGGAAACGATCTGTGTTCTACCACAAACTGATCTCAGTTTTATACAATTATGCTTGAAATTACAAATATATTAGACACTAAATCCCCCGTTATCTGATGCAGGTCGTTAATAAACTCCTGGATGCTGATGTGTTTCTGTGTGTGTGT